TTTGCTTTGCTGACCTTCCTATGCTGTCTTGCAAATTCGTGAGCATTAAAATTCTGTAATTATATTAAGTTTTTTAAGTCGCCTTGCTCATCCTTTTTTTTGCTGGATTTTGCTTGCAGAAGTTCTGCAAGTTTTTTCCTAGTGACTGCTAACCTTGAAGCTTTCCTATAATTTCCAAATTATTTTCATGCTCATCCATACCTCTTCCTGTCACATTAATGATACACTGAACTCTGAAGGAACAATATGCCTTCTGCCATGATAAAATCCTACTAAATCAGTTATTTTTTGCATCTCTTTTGTGACAGATGCACATTTGTGTAATTTGTACAGCACTACCTCACCTCAACTATTGAACTCCTGTAAAAAAAAGGACTATTTCTTTATCAAAAGATCTTGTTTCAAACATGGCATGCTGCAGTGCAGACCCCTTCACTGCATAAGCAAAAGATATAAATGAAAAAGCCTAGAGGCTGGCTTTACTACAGATGGAAAGTTGTTTCTCTGATAGAGTTCTATTTACTTTCAAATGCTGAGACTTCAAAGTAATTATAAATTAAGACCTCCCCAGACTTCCAAAGCTCACAGATGTTTTGTTTATTTGTTTTGTGTTTTAACAACTTTGACATTCTCCTAAGCAATTCTTAAGCTTAAACTGTCTACTTGCACAGACTTCCAGAGCTTCCAGATGTTTTTGTTTATTTATTTTGTGTTTTAAAAACTTTGACATTTTTCTAAGGAGGTCTTAAGCTTAAACTGCCTACTTGTGCTCTTAAATAGTAATTACTGGTTAGGAAAAGGTTTTCGTTTGCCTTGCAATTTTAATACAAACTGTATGAATATATTCTTATCTGACTTTTGTTTCAATTTGATCAATTACATATATTTGTTAACTAAAAAATAGTAAAAAGTAGAGATTATAGAAACTGACATATCACAGTGAAAATATATGTATATAAAGACAACAAGTGTCTTACAATAACTAGCCCAGATATTTGCTTGAATGAAATGTATACTTGGTATACTTGGTATTGTAAGCCCCTTTACCTCTACCCTTAAAGTCATTAAAGGAAGGTTTAATGAGTGCATCAGGGTAGATTATTTTTCCCCTCTAGGCTGCTGGATCAAATCAGATGAGTGTGTTGATTTTCTGTGATTGCACACATGTGGTACACAGCTTATCTACTTCCATAAATAATAATGTATATAAACATAAATATTTGAGCATATGTTTAAAAATCACAAATATGTTTAAGTTATGTTAAGGCAATGATGAAAAAAATACTTCTCAAAGCTTTTATCTGTGTAAGCAATCTTAAAACCATTTTACATCTGCTTTCTTTTTCATGTTTATATGCTTAGGTCTGTTTGTGCTAGAAAACACAAAAGGTAAGTAATTCTTCTCTCCTTAATTCCACTCCAGAAATTCTGATCCTGTTTTTGCTGATATTTATTGAATTCTAGAGGCTTTTTAGACCATATAACTCACACAGCTTCACCCTGCTCACCAGCAGCACACGATCCCTTTGGACCATAGTGCCATCTAGCTTCTCTTTTCCTGACCTCGGTAATTCCATGTGTGGAATACAGTTGAGTGATGAAGCAAAAGAATGGCCAGGGAGCAATCTTAATAGAATTGTCAAGTTAGATGGCTATGATAGACATACAGCTGAATTATGGGAGCCTGACAATAAACCCCTCTTTGATAATCCAAAAGTGAGAATAAAGCAGGTATTTTCCTTTGGCAAAGGTCTTATTGCTTCCCTTCAAAATGTGAAAATCAAGATCCTTGCTGATGCTCTAGGCAAGTTACCAATGCCTTTGGAAAAGCTCTGGAACCATTCCAATACTAATACACACTTCACAGGACAGCAAAGACAATGTGGCTAAATCCTTGCACATTGTTTCCTACAGAAAAATCTCTGCTCTCAAAGGTGCAAAATTTGAAGAGACTTGGAACATTCCTTGAGATGCCTAGAAAGGAAAAAGGCTAGAAAAAGTATCTTTCCCTCCACATGATGTGGTGGGAGGGCAATGGACTTCCTTGCACACACATGGAATCTGAGATCCACTGAAAGATGCCTGGGTTTCATTTGCCTTTGCAATATATGCAGGACCTAACTCTATGCAAGCATAAAACAAATCCAGTCCCTTTAAGGAGGTTATAACTTCAAAACAAGAGCTGCAGTGGTAGAACAGAAAAAGTGTTTTCCAGGTGTGGGTCTGACTCCTATCCTTGGCAGTTTCTGATGGACTACACAAGATCCAATCTAGTTTGCTTAATCTTTCTCTCTAATTCACTGCTGTGCTTGTTACTACCAGGAAGGACGGATAGATATTTCCTGCTGTACCCATGAGCATGGTTTGTTCCTCCAGTGGCACCATTACATTAACTTCTTACTACTGGAATGTCAAGTGTTTAATGCTGTTAATACCTAATATGAAAACAGCTGAATCATCAAACATTAATTTCAGAATGAACATCCAGATAAAGATTTTCCACAAAAATCCTAATCAACCAAACTTTTTAAATTATCAGGGTATATTAAGGCCTTAATCCCTAAATAATTAACAAATTAATTGAGATTCCATTGAGATAACATAAACCATCTTAAGTCTGCAAAGAGATGAGGATAAATGGGCTACTAAATGTAAAGGTGGCATAAATGTGCAGCTCTTAGAGAGATGCAGGAGTTGGGGCCTTTTGCAATGGTCTTGTATGAGGGAGAACAACTCAGATCTTTGGCTGGCCCCTGTAAAAGAGCAGCTGTAGCTCAGCTGCCTTCTTGTTCTCAAAGAGCTGACAGACACAGCTGTCTGCACTGTGACAGCTTCCACTAGCATCAGACACCCTTGGTTAACAGCTACAGACAGCCTTAGCATCACTGAATGTTTTTATGGACATTCTTGCCAAAAGCTTGTCCATAGACTATCTGAATAAAATTATTTATACAATAGGTACCTATGCCAGCCCATGAATGGCTGGCACATAAACAGCTTTTTACACTTCTGTTTGAAGCCAAATATTGATGTAAAAATATTACCAAATATTTATATGACAACTGTTCACCAACTTTGTTCCCAAAATCAATTAACAGAAAACAGTATTTCAATATAGTACTGTGTAATTGATAAGAATAAGAAACAAAAGAACACTTCAGTATTTCTATAGGTATCTCATTTACAGATTTAAACTTATATGGTCCATTCAACTCTGATTAGGTTCATCACAATTGTTTTCAGATTACAGATAAGAATAACATATAATCACCTATTTTATTCATTAGGTTAACATAATATTTGTAGTGTTAAATGGCACTAAATCAGATAATGGCTATAATACTCTTAGTTTTACATGTAGTGGGTTTTTATTCTGAATTATTTGCTCCACAAGTTACTTTCACACAGATTCCTCAATATGCTTTTCCTAGAATATTTTTTACATTTGGGAAGAGATTTTTCATACATTTGTATACTTATGAGTCAATACTTTTTCTTTATAATTAAATTAAAATTGTCTCTGAAATCTAAAATAAATTAGGCCAACTGAATTATTAAAATTTGCATAAGCTATCAGATAATGACTTAATTGTTTTTTCTCAGAGTTGTGCCCAAAATTCTACAGAAATCAGATGTATGTTATCCTCTGGGAAGCCACATTCTCTGTGCCACCCACAACCTTGTGGAGTCTTGTAAACATATGTCTCCCAGGAGTCCTGATCTCCAGATCAGCTTCTGGGCATTAGGGCTCACCGGCTCCTGGCACGACAGAAACCTTGGGAGGAGCAGCCAGAACACCTGGGGCACCACGTGCTCTACTACAAAAGGGTACGGGCTCATCTACCATTCTGACACATGCTGCCAAACCAAGATTTCTCTGAGCAGTAACTCCATTTTTAAAACATTCCTAAATTCCCAAACTCAGCCAAAGGGATGCTTGTGAAGGGATATGAAGCTCTGAAAAGTTTTGTCTATCTCAAATGAAATAAAGCCATAGTTCAAAAGGCTATATATTTTGTAATTAAATACACATGTATGTACATGTAAGTACATAATTCTTGAATGTTAATAACTTAGTAACAAAATATCTTCCCCTCAACAGTCTCAAAATGTATTTGTGCTTGGGCTGATACCAAGCATGGGACACTATCATCTCAAGGATTTTTTTTAGCATAGTATGACTACATTGCAGAAGGGACTATAATTATAATCTTGACATTACCATAACGACCGTGGTTGCTATCAGGTGACAGGTATTATATAGATAATCAGTAGACAGCAATATTTAATGATGCATGAGATAAAAGAAAATTAATTGATGCCTTTAATTCAGCTCAGAGCCATCATTTGTTAAATCTGCATGTGACTGTCCTAATCCTGTTTATATGTACATAAGTTACATTAAATAACTAAGAGCTAAGCTAGGTATCTTCTGTGAAATTCAGAGAGCTTATATGTACTCTTTATATACAATGAATAGTTTTTTATGTTTCTATTTACCTCTATTTTTAACACAATATTTCTACTGCCTTGATTTAATTAGCATACACAAAAAAAAAAGAAAAAAAAGAAAAAAAAGAAAAAGCTAGTAGCTGCTGTGAAAGGTATAAAAAAAAGGTCTTTGTTGAAATTAAATAGAAGCAGTAGTGAGGCTGGCTATTTTTTTCCCATGTTGCAACCTACTTACTCTTTCATTTAATCTGTCCTAGAGAAATAATGCCACAACCTGAGAAAAAGGAACCTAGAGTAAGGGGAGATGCTCTGTTGAATGAAAGAGGGACAATTATGCTCACTGCAGGAGCTAATATGGCTGAACATTTCAAATCCTGCAATATCTTATCACTACCTTTATAAAACATGATTAATTGAAAGAGATATTTTCATGTAAAAGGACACTCCTGAAATGAAACTATTCCAGTATGTGTAGATGGCCATGGGTGAAATGCAACAGAAGACAAAGGAGTAATACTCAAACATAGATATGAAGCAGCACTACTCACATATCTTCACAATATTTCTGGTTACTAATTCTGTTCAAACCTTGGTGCTCCTGTCTCCACAGCGACTACACTGCTACAGCCATCTCACTGAACCTTAGAATGGAAGATGCAAAGTTTACTGAGAATTGCAGGAACAGTGTTTAATGAAATTACATTAAACTCAGTGTCAGAGGTTCGAGGCTGAGAAGAAACTGGCGGACTCAGAAATGTGGTAAACAGAGGCAAGGCAGACAAAGGGGTCAGAAGAAAACATAGAGGATATGGAACATACATGAAGCAAAGTTTACACAATGTTTTATAAAACTGACTATTTTTCAATTCATCATCTTTGTCTTTCAAGCTCTCCCTTTCACAGTTTTCCTCTGTTGCTAATGCTCACTTTGCTGCTTTGCAACTAACATTACACCTCCATCACATCATCAGCTTCAGAATAGATCAGGAGGGATGCAGCTCTTGCCTGAAGCATAGCTGTGTTTTTAATTCTGCCCTCAGACTGCCACACAGCAGGTGAAGACAGCCTGAACACAAGGCATCTTTGGTCTTAAGTGAAGCTTTTCAATAATGCATTTCTGTTATTCTGTTATTTCTTTTCAATAACAGAAATTTCTGTTCTTGTTCTGTGTGCCTTGGCTCTTGAACTATCAGAGCTGATTCTGTCCAGTAAGGATGAGATTCATTCTGCCTTCCTTTGTGTTTCTTTAGTAATTAATATTAATTATGCTTTTCAGCAGCTGTCAATTCTAGAGCAGCAGGAAAACTTTGGAAGCAGGAGTGAATCTCACAGAAGTACAGAAAAAAGAGACATTTAAAGGATGCTGAAAAATTTTGGCAGAGGCACGTTTTTATTATTCATTATTTAAATCCATTGTCTTACAAGAGGATAAGTTCAGCATGGTGAGGTCTAAGGTGCTACATAGCTCACTTGATTGGCTTGAGTTCCCCTTCCAACTGGCAGTTTGCTTTCCTTCTGAACAACTCCCAAAAGCTTGGCTCTAAAATGATGACAAGCCTGATGTCTGGGGTTGCAGGTTAGACATCCTACAGTTTTCCCTGAACTCCAAACAGTTAACCTTCCTGGAGTGGTTATTATGCCTCTTCAGAAACCCAAAGCTTCAGGCAAAAAAGCAGCCACAAATGTTTTTTTTTTTTTCTCGGGATTGTTTCAAATTCTTTATTTTCATGAATGTCCATCCAGACTTGGTGTAGGGCAGACTGCACAGGGACCCTGACCATATTGAACTCCTTGACAATAAACAGGCAAGGTGGCCCACGCTCTTCAAGCAGAGCCCTTTTTCTGTAAGGTCGTGTTTTCCACACCAGAAGAGATCATTAGATCACCATGTATAGCAACAGATTGGTTTGAATACCTGCATAAATGTTCTTTTTCTGTACTGATGTCACTTTTTAGGTTACTATGATTGAACTCTTGAGCCAAAAAGATTTTTTCTCCAGCCTTCTATTTTTCTTTTTTTTTATATTACCCTTTTTTTTACACAACCTTACTCAAATGCAAGTATCTGTAAATATAGACAAAGAATTTGTCCACTGCTCTGCACAGTAAAAGCCCGACTTCAATACCTACTCACCCTAAATAGAAATTTAAGCATGTGGGATTTGTCTATCACTTCTTTAGTCTTAGTTTACAACTGTCTCCCAAAACCCTGCTCAAGCAGTTGTGCCCTGATCAGCAGAATCAAGAACTTTTCCCTTAGTGAAAAAAATTACAGAAGATACTGAAGAAAGGGAAAGAGAAGGAAAGAAAATAGACTATTACCCTGGTAAAATGATGACAGTGCATGGGAAGGATTGACATAAAAGAGCAAAAAAACGTAGCTTTCTTAGAAGTTAAACAGTCACGAGAAAAGCTATTTTTGCTGCCATTTGAGAAAGGGACTTCTGAATTTAAAGAATATTGCAATAATCTAGTTATGTGATTTAAGATTAAATAGAAAGCTAAAGTATATGTTGTCACTTTTTTCTTTAATGAAATGCTACACTTAAATGTCTTCATTTGAAAATAATCTGTATGTGGGTTTTTTTAAAAATAGCATCAACTTGGTAGTTAGAAAAAAATGGTTCACAATGTGCTTATGGCTGACTGAATCTGGAGGTTAGCTAAGATGTTATCTCTGCTTGTCAGTCCAGCACTGCTGTTGAATGCAGTCTCCATAAGACTGCTTCTGCAATTCCTATCTTTGATTTTAGAGTTTAAAGAAAATTTTCTGGTGTACGAAATGCTTTGTTAAAGGAAGAAATCGAGAATACAAGTGCATGTTTTTATTTATTAAGAAAAGCATAGAATTGTATCTCCTCACATACAAAGAATCAAAGAATTTGAGATGGTTAATTTTATCATAATCCCAGGCCTCTTCTGGCTTTCAGATTTTTCTCTGTGCTGTTTCTCAGGATCAAACTGTTAGCACCCCTGTCCTGTCTTTTTCATCTCCCCTTGTCATAATTCCCCAGCTTCACCTTGCTGCCTGTACTTTTTTTACACTCCTATTTTGAGTACAATGATCGCCCAGTTTTGGCGGAGACTCATATTGCTGTAGCTACCTAATTCCACAAAGCAGCTCTACAGCTTTTTATAATTATTTTGAATTAAGGGTGACTTCAAAAGATTGAATCCAAACTCTAACATCAGGAACACCCTCTACAAGCAATTTTCACTAATAACCCATGCCTCAGGGCATTATTTTGAGGCATCACAATTTTACTTTCAAAAAGCAGGTCCCACATGTGCTTCTGCATGGGCAATTCAAAAACTGAGTGGCAGATTTATTTGGGCCATAATATGCCAAATAGCGCTTTTCAAGCACATCAGCGTAGCTGACCACAATTCATGCAGGCTGTTACTAACTCCTACCTGCTCTTGTTCTCAGAAGCCCTCAGAAAGTAGCAAAGGAATAGGCAACTATTGCACGTGAACATCATGGCTGATCTGCACTACTGTATCACTACTGCATCATAAATTCAATGCTTTAAGGAGCTCTCCCCTCCCATCTAAAGCACATGAAGCCAGCTAATACATGTCACTGCCAGCCAATCCAGGAAGGGCAGCTTCAGGCCATGCTCAGACAACTTGCTTGGCACAACACCAGAGGAAAGGAGCAACTCAGTTCAAGCAAATCTCATTTGAATTGCTGACAGGATTTTCTATCATCTTCATTTACACCTCTTGAAAGGGTGTTTGGTAGAGACATTTTAAAGGACGATTGGCAACATATCCCTTGTGTCTGTAAATTAGTTATTTGAGCATGACAGAAATTCACATTGAAGAAAAGTCACCATTAAACTAGCAGAGGACACATATAAATCATCTGTAAATTAAAGCATAGAATGACAAAAACTGAGAATGAAATCCAGTTCCTTAACCAAGAAGCAGTACCATAGAGCCAGGAGAACTTGAGCCAAGCTGAGCTTCCATTGCAATTTACCATGGAGTATTTACAATGTGGAAATACAAAGATTATGGCTGTAGAACAAGGCATACAGGACTTTTCAGAGCATTCATTTCTCAGAGAAAGTGATCTTGAGACAAATACTCTTTCTTAATTACTTTAAAGTCATTCTTTTTTCTGCGTAATGTTATTTAGGTCACCTGAGTATATTAAAACAGTCAAAGATTTACAGTCAGATGTAATTACATCAAACTTTCCAAGGGATTTCCAGTTGTTTTCTGGAATTGATGCATAGCATAAGGATAGCTGTCTAGAGTTTTGTACATCGTAACATTTTTATACATGTTTGCATTTTAAACGTAGTCTATATAAAATACAGGCATTTCAGATTTAACTTGCATGCTATTTTACAAGGGAAGAAGCCCAGAAGTTCCAGTTATCTGATGGTTTGGACATTGAATTTGGAAACATGTTATTGCTTTAATTTCAGACTAACGTGTTCCACAGCCAAAAACAGGGGAGCGGCATTGTCTAATTTTTTATTTTAGAGTTTGATTTTTTTGCTTATGGGCCCAGTAATGAGCTTTACCAAGTGTCTTGAGTTCCTTTAGCCATAGTGGGAGATGCAAAATGCATTTTTCTGTGGGTTCCAACCTAAGGATTATTTTGTAGTTGAACAGGGTCTTACCCTCGAGTGGCCCTTGGTTGAACTTTATTTTGGAAGCAAACCAGCATATTTTTCAGTATTGGGATAGATGAGGTTGAAGCAGTTTTCCTTCTCCATTTGCTACACAAAGACAGCTAAAGCACAGCCACTGCGATTAGGATGAGATATTACAACAAGGATATAGTGGCTCCTTCACTCTCCAAGATATGTGCACAGTGTTAATAAAATAAATCTTGCATATCTTATATGTTCAGTATTTCCTTGCTGGTCCTCCACATCTTTCTGGTGCCATCACTCAGAGGAACACTGTCTCCAGTATGAAGGAAGAAGCGTTCTGTAAAATTCAGACTCAAGGAAACTTATTTTACTTTACCACAGGTGCTTGCAAGTGGCTAAAGCTGTTTTCAAGATGTTCATACAATTTCTGGATGTCAATTTAAAAAAAAATCCTTTTGAGGCCTTCATTCTTTGTGTTTTTAAATCCTGACCTTAACAATATCTGACCTTAACATAATCTTTTGTGATTATGGAGGTTTTTTTATGCCAGAAAACAAAATATTGGTATGGGACTTTTAGAAAAATCATTCATTCACAGATATCAAACAGGTCTTAGTCTTGGGAAGAAACATTAAATTATTCCCTTTCTCTCAAAGCATTGTCTGTGGAAACTCAAACTCCAGCAGGTAAAGCAAGCAAAGTGTGTGGGGCATTATAAAATAATGCCAAAGGGCCTTTAATATTATCAACTATCATGTGTGTCTTTTCCTTGTTATTATCCCATCTTAAACTATCCTCATGAGAGCTCCAAGTTCGTGTCAACCAATGCAACACACTCTTGTTTGACAAAGTTTCCTATGTTCCCATGGGTCCATTCTTCTTGAGACAGTACAACTTAGGTGATACTGCTTGTGGATGCCCACGGATTCAGAAAACAGCTACCTTCCTGCAGACGTTTGTGCCAGAAGGCAAACACAGCACTATCATCACCATGAGAACAACAGCAACAGTGTTGGAAAAGAGGAAGGAGGAAGTCAAGCAACAGAGAAGGAAATAGAAGGATTTTAAGACCATTCCTGGAAGGAATGGGCCTGCAGCACTCACCACCACAGTTTCAGTGCGAGGAGCTGTCTCCTTTCCAAATGCCAGACAGAATCTGTTATTGTGTATCTATGTGAAATCATACTTCTGCAATAATATATTTAAGAGAAATACAACAAACTGGTAACTGAACAGGTGACAAGGTTAGATGGACACCACCAGCCTTCATATTGCATTGCATTTTATCGCGTGGCCATGGGCAGAGACCTTCGTTAAAACAGGCCTTAAAGAGCTTCCAAACTAGATCACCACAAAGGTGCATATGTTTTTGTTTTTAACAGTTTCCACAGACAGCATCGTCCGGAAGTTTGCCAGAGAAAGCTGAAGGAGGGTCTTGCATGGAGCACAGAGATCAGGTATGCTGGGGAAAGGAAGCAGCTCCCGGTGTCTGTGTGCGTGTGTGTGTAGTGAGACACCTGCCCGTCCTTCACAAAACGAACCTGGTGTTCAGGGAGCTCACTTCAAAGAACTACTTTAAATGCTGAAAGAATTACATCGACTTTATAAAAACAAACTTGCATATGTCTCAGAAAGAGCTGTCTAGGTGTCTGTCATACTGAAATCTTTCGAGCTTAACAACAGTTACGTGCGTTGCCATATTTACCGGTTATCCCAGATTGGTAAAAGCACGGCCGTGGCTGGAGTCCCGGGGGCGGACAGCAGCGGTGCCGGGAGCGGGGCTGAGGGGGCGGGCGGGAGATCCCGCCCCAGTGTCCGTCCCGGTGCCTCGGGAAAGCACCCGGCGCTGCCGGGCCGTGTGGCAGAAGGGGGAGCGGGCAAGAAGTGCGTGGGGTCAGAAAGGAGCAGCAGGAGAGGAAGAAGCGCTGCCGGGACGGGCGCCGTGGCCGCCGGCGGGGCTGTCGGAGCGGCCTGGGGGGTCCCGGCGCCGCCGCGGGCCTCAGCGCGGCGCGGCCGCGGCGCTGGCGCCTCTCCCCGCGCCCCGGCGCCGCGGCAGCGGCGGGGAGGGCGGGGCGCCGGCGGGGCCCGCGGCGGCGGCCGCGGGGCGCGGGGCGGCGGCCGGGCCCTCGCCGCGGGGCAGGACAGAGCGGGCCGCCCGGCGGAACTCCTCGCTGCGCCACGTGTAGAGCAGCGGGTTGAGGGCCGAGAGCGAGCAGAGCAGCAGCCAGCTGGCGGCCTGCAGCGCCGGCGGCGCCGGGCGCAGGAAGAAGCCCAGGAGGCTCACCCAGACCAGGGGCTGGGTGCCCAGCAGGAACACGCAGCAGAGCAGCAGGACGGAGACGCTGCTGAGGCGGCGCTGGGCGCGGCGAGGCGGCGGCGGCGCGGCGGGGAAGGGCAGCTGGTGCAGCAGGTGGAAGTTGAGGACGCTGACCCGCTTGGCGCTGCCCCGCACCCGCCGCACGATGCCGAGGTAGCAGTGGAGCAGCAGCGCGGTCTGGCCCAGCACGGCCAGGGCGAGGAGCAGGGCGGTGTAGCGAGAGCTGCCGTCCGACTGGGCCGAGCCCAGGGTCCAGAGCCCGGGCAGCAGCGGGACCGGGAGCAGGGCGAGGGCCCAGGAGAGCCCGATCATGCAGCCCGTGTGTCTCCGCTGGTAGAGGGCCTGGTACACGCTGGGCAGCTTGGTGATGAGCACGTACCTGTTGAAAGCCACCAGCAGGTGCGAGGCCAGGGAGACGGTGAGGCCGAGGCCCAGGAGCCCCCCTCGGAGCAGCCGGTACTCCGCCGAGCGAAGGGAGGACGAGTTGGGGGGCAGCAGCCCCAGCACAGCCTCCTGGGGCATCCACAGGGCGCACACGCTCAGGTCTGCCGCACAGCCGTTCACGATGAAGGCATTGCTGGTTGTCTGCAGCTTCTTGAAGGAGAAGACTAAATAAATGACCATCACATTGGATAAAGTCCCTGAGATAGCTAAGACTGCGTAGAGCAGCGACAGAAAGATGCGGGTCCCGGAGGAGTCCTCCCAGAGCAGCAGCAGAGGCGAGCTAGCACTCCAGGAAGAGGCGTTGGGCATCTCGCTGAATGCAGCTCAGTTTTGACTTTGCCCTGTAAATCCCATCCTTGTCTGGGTCAGAAGTTCTGCTGCAGGAGTCCTCACCAAGCACACGGGAGGCTGTGCAGCTGAAGGACTCTAAGGCAGCTTTCAGTCATACAAGCTGTAAGGTCCAGAAAATGCTGTTTGCAGTAAGGATCCAAAAACCAGCAGTGTCCAAGGCAGTTAGGCAGCAAGAGTCCACAGATTGTAGCTGGTAAAGGTGGGTCCATAGGGAGGCAAATGGCTGTTGGCAGACCAGAGCACGACTGAGGTTTCTGTAGCTGTGAAAACAGCAAAAGCAGCAGCACCTTGCAATCGGCAGCAGAAACGGCAGCAACTGATACAAAGCTTTGCAGTTTCTCCTGTGCCACAGTACGTACACTGTATATCATTTCAGGAAGATTCAGCCCTTCCACTCTTCATGAATTATTCAGCAGATTTTCAACTTGTTAAATCAAGAAGGGAAAAAAAAAAAAAAAAGCCAAACCCTATCATGCTCCAGAAATACTCCAACTACACAGTCTGACTCTTTTCTCCCTGCCTTACCAGTCTTCTGGATCTTGCCCATTTACACAACATTCATTTGAAGCAAGGTTTTAAACCCTATCAGTCACTTCTGTCTGAAATACTGTCTGTAGAAATTCTTCTGCTCAATACTCAGTTTTTAACAGATTTTTTTCTGATTTTATTTTTGTTAAGAGTAAGCTCAGTATGCTTCTGCAGTTTTAGTTAATTTTAGAACTGGTCTGTAATAACAATATACTTCCCAAAAGAAATCTTTCAAACACAATAAATAGACCAGTCCTGGTAAGACAGTACTTATTTGAGAAAGCTGGTTCTCAATCTGAACATTTTACATCTCTTCATAAACCTCAGCCTGTGTCAACCCACAGGAAATCCTGCATTGCCACCCTGCCAGAGGTGAACACTGGTGTTGGTGAGCACACAGATAACACAGCCATCAGTGTAATACTTGAAATGTTCCTGGAGAGGAGAATAACAACTCCTGAGGTGGACTAAAAACTGATTGAAAGAGTAGGCATTAACAGTCCATTCCCAGATGGAGAATAATCCCAGGAACTCTACCCTGCCTTATTCAAACAGGGATAAAATGGTAACTGTCCTTAACCTGGACAAGACTTAATAAGAAACTCAGTAAGAGAACTTACATTTACTTTTAAAAGCTTTTCAGATATGGAATTTTGTGATGAGCTTAAGAAAAAAGCTGCTTTTGCATGTAGGTTAGGTATAATCTACAAAAGCAAGCAATCACAGCTTGTAAGGTATTATCTGTACCAGAGACTTTCATGAGGCATTTTTAGATATTAAACTCCTGATGCTAACAAACAGCAATACCAAAATAATGTATTAAGAGGTAGTTATAGTTGCAATATACATTTTTTTTAAGTTAAAGAAGTTAAATTGTGTGGGTTAATGGATGTTGCAATACAGCATATCTTTTGATAAAAAAGGCTCATGTTAACAATTGACAGAAATATTGATCCAAAGGTGGATTCGTTACAAACATTAATATCTATGTTCACTTTTAATTAACTGGATGGCTCATGTGCTTAAGGTTAAAGACCTACCTCAGTGATTTACTTGATCAGGCCCTTAATTATCATATTTTTTGCCTGCTGCACTTTACAGTGTAGATCTAATTAAGTGTCAAACCTTTTGAGGCCTTTCATTGTTTAGTTGTCAGTAAAGAACAGTTATTATAGAAACTAAAATCCTCCCCTTTCTGCAGTAATGTACTGTAATTGAAAATTAGTCTCTGAATTTGTAACAAGTAATACCTCCCTAACTGAAAAGCTTCATAAAGCATACTTTAAAAAGAGATTATGATGATTAACTGTTTCATAAGATGTTAGCCATAGAATATTATGCCCAGTAGAGACCTTTAGACTTATTTAATCAATCCATTCATATTTACAGATCTTGTGTACTACAACTTATTCTCCCAGAACCACATATATCCATATTTGAAGGAACAAAAATGGTGAAGCTCAAGGACAAGTGAACACAGGATATAAAATAAATTTCAGGCTATTTCTTAAAAGCTACAAGGTTCTAAAAGTCCTTCCTGACCTTTCACTGTTTCAAATTTTTTGTTGTTGTTAAGAAGTTGATTGTTGCAGAATACTGACTTATTTATGAACTTTAAAAAGTTCTACATAAGCTGGTATTTATCTAAATCAATAAAAGCCTAGAAAAAGGCCAAGGGAGAGCTTGATTCCTATTTACTAGAAACCTTTTAATTAGCTGTTCATCCTGTATCTTATTTACTCTGCACATCCAAATCACCATCCATTATTCATACAAATGCAGGGGCAGAAGCCTTTTGTTGTTTTTTTTAGCTCAGACTGTCACCAGAATTTGGGCAACTTGGAAAGCATCCACTCTATTCCCAGCTTTCCCATTCCTTTAAAGTGGTTGTGTAACAGTTACACACTGTCCACATCTATTGCAAGAGAGGCTAACAGGCTAATAGAGAAGTAATCATGTAATGCAACAAATTTGCTGAAAATCAGCAAGAGGGTTAAACAAATGTTAGAACTATTTGTGATTAGTTTTAAATTGAAGGAAGGATAAAAAGCTAAAGAAAGCTAAATTGTTTAGGTTCTTATGGATGAAGAACCTGCTGTTGGTGGGACTAAGAGACCTGTTGCACATGCAAAAAAGTGAAAGTATATTACACCTGTAACAAGGGACTTCCCCCAGGAAGGATTCCTCAGTTCAGACACAGCTTTGAAATCACTGTAATTTGGAATATAATGCCATCATCATCACATCAACATGTTGATTAAATACCTGGCATTATACAAAGCAAATACAAGAAGGTTCAGAGAGATTGTTAAAAAAGTTATCTATCTTGCTAATGGCCTTTTCCAATGTTATCCTACTTTTAAGTACATTACATGGTTTAGAGGAAAGAAGGTGATTTTGAAAAGTTACCTTCAATTAGAGATCAAATCATCAAAATATCTACCAAAAAACCCAAG